AAATGAACACAAATGAGATATTTCTCAGAAAGGACAGTATTGTCTATGTGCATTATTGGAAAATCAAGCCTTTCTGTACTGTGTAAATGAAAATGTTGTACGCGATGTCTGCTTTAGGACAGAGAGAGCAGTGAGAACTGTGAGCAAAGCTCGAGTCATGCCTGCTTTTGACGTATGACCTTAGAGCTATGACTGCATGGGCGTCACAAGATGAGTGTGTGGATGGCAAATCAATAGCATCCTTTTATTTCCTCAGCTATTCCCCCGTATCCTGCTGTCCACCTCAGGCTGCTGCAGCTCGAAGAATCTGGGCTCGCAGCAACGCAGACACACCCGTGCTTAGTTTAGGAGACATATCCTCCTTCATAAACCTAAGTTTCATTCACATGAGGACAGGAATGCATTTAGAGGAAGGAGCTGATTGATTCTGTCATTAAAAAACTCACATTATAAAATATAAATGCGTTATGTCCATTCCCCCAACTCTGGTTTGCTTACTGAATTGTACATTTGAGTCACATCTAATTCACATTCACAATTGAGTCACATTGTTCATAAATAAATCCTGCAACATGACATCATTGATAAATTACAATTAATAATTTATGTTATTCTGATTGCCCAGGGTTCATGTTCATCTATAAAGCTGGACAATAGAAAAGCAACATTTAAATTTGTAATGTTAAAAACAGTAGGTGAACCCCCTCAGTTTCTCATATTATATATTAATATTATTACATATATATATATATATATATATATATATTATTACCTTTATTTAACTCAATCATTGAGGGGTAGCCCTCATTAATAATGATGAGTACACAAAATAACCAAAGGTGAAAGAAAACAAAAAATATAAAAAGAACAAAACCAAAAAAACATTAAAAAATACAGAAACCGAGAACGGCCATAGATTTTTTATTATTTTTTATGCACTGTTATATCATGTTAACGACTTATTATCTCGTTATCTCGATATAACAAAGTTTGTTTTCTCGTGATAACGAAGTCATTATTTTGTTATTTTGATATAACAAAGATCATGTTCTTGTGATAACTTATTAATTAATAATTTGTTCGTCTTGATTTCAACCTACAAGAGCTGCCACGAACGGCTTCCAGTCAAGTAAACAAACTAATGTAAAGTGTAACTAACCGGTAGGCTACAGCTACAGCCAGTGGCTACGGAAGCCGTTCGTGGCAGCTCTTGTAGGTTGAAATCAAGACAAACACATTATTAATTAATTAGTTATCACCAGAAAACGATCTTTGTTATATCGAGATAACAAAATAATAAGTCTTGGACATTTTACAGCATTAAAAGTAACTGAATATGAAAGCAAGTTGCTACATTGTTGATCAGGAAGTTCACTCTAATATCCATAAATTCACTTCCTAATGTTTAAAATGTGGATTATAAGAATGATTGAGTCGAAAAAATACCGTATTTCTTCTTAAAAGGCAAAATAAAGTTATAAAAGAAGAGTTTATAACAGGTTTTGTTTTATTGCTGTAACGACTATGAGCTCTGCTGCCACAGTGGTTTTCCAGTGATGTTGTCTCAAGGCTGTGAGACCGCTCAGGCTGCACTACATGTGACCTCTCATGTGCTAACAGCAGAGTTCAGAAGGAAATAAATCCTTCCCACAGAGCACCTGACTTAACATACCACAAATAGTTAACCATTTACTTCTTTTGCCCCCACTGTGTAGTATTCTAATGACAATGTTTCTGGGTTTCAGGGAATTTGGGGAATTAACATAGAATTTAGAAAGCTGGATTTTAGACAGGAGCAGTTGTTGGGAATCTGGGAATTTTAGGAAATGCTTGCTTTTCAGGATTATTCCAGGATTTATTTAATGTGTGTGAATGGCTGCATTAGATTACAGTGTTTTTTAGTAGCAAGCTAAAATGAAATTGATAAAATAGCCTAGTAACATTTCTTTGAGTTAAAAAGTATAATATTAACAAAACAGGAAATATTCTCATGTTTAGCTTGTGGAAGTACAGATAATGAAACATCAGGGCCACAATTAAAACTCATATAAAACACAGACAAACAGAGCCCATCCCCCACCTGCAGTCACACACACACACACTAACAACCTTTTAGTTGTACACTAACTCACAGAAAATGAGTATTGTGTTTTATTATTGGCCAAAAGCCAGATCGATAAAGCCATCTGGTCGGTGAAATGCCAGTACAAGATCAGACCAGACAGGCAAACCAGTTCACGAACACAGCAAGCATAGAAGTCATTCAGTGCATTCACATTATGTAAACTGTGAATGACACTAAACAAACCAACATATACCATGCATGTACCTATAGCAGCATTTTAACTCATATTTATGCCTTTAACTCACATGTAATAAACAACATAAAACGAGAAATAATTTCTTTATAGTGGACAGAAACATCACTTCACACATAGATTTGCTGGGTGGCCTCTGGGCTCATGTGTACTACTGAGTGCTTCCACGTCCAGACAGACCAACAGAAGCTGTTTCTTCATGCAGTAACAGAGGACACCCAGAGCCTTATGAGCAGTCCTGGTCCATATTTCACATTAATACAGGACTTTTCTCACAGCAGACATTTTTACTTGTCGCAGTAGAAAAAGCTCAGGTGTTGCTGTCCTGAGAGAAATGCAGGTTTATTTGTTTAGACTCATATACCATATAACTACAATGTCCCCAGCCTTTGTCGGATGTTGCATGGGGGGCTTAGTGGCCCAGCAGCTCCAGGATCCTGTAACTGGTTAATCCGCCCATTCCCCCAGGGAGCCACACAAAGCCATTGCAAAGAGGGCACGCATGATCAGTGGTAAACATGTTCAGTGCAATTTAAGTTGAAAAGACCTTTTTCACAGCAATCATTTTAACTCGTCAAACCCAGGTGTGACTAATAACTTTGTTAATTGCTGCAACATGTTGCAATAATTGGTGGAACAAAGACGTCATCAATGTTAGTTCCACTTGTGCTTTTCCTGCTATGAAAAGTCAAAATGTCTGCTGTGAATCGGATTTATTCAGGAATAATAAAAAGACAGAGAGTTAGAGAGAGGTTTATTCCAGCTTCTACAGAGAGGTGTGATAGAAATAGGTTGGGAACCATTTGCTCTATTGAGGAATTGCAGAGCTACACTTTCTACCACTAGAGGGAGCAACTGTGTTTCTCTTTTCCTCTGTCCTGTTCAGTAAACACACACACACACACACACACACACACACACACACACAGTATATATTATATCTGTCAGTCAGTACACTGTGAAATATGGTGCAATTTACTACATTATTTGACATTTACCAACAAACCAGTCCACATCATTTCCTTGCAAAAAGTATACAAAACTAAAACTGCCTTTATAAATCAGACATAATTAAAATATGATATTTTATATTTTATCAACTTCCTAAAATTGTGCTTTTTATGATGATGTCTTTATGATATTTGTTTTTATGTATTATGTGCTGTCATGTTATTATATTATGTTTTTTTATATCTTGCTATGCTGTCATATTTGGGTGTTGATGTTATTTTTACATTTTAAATGCTCATTGTGCAAAGCGAATTCCCAAAGGGCAATAAAGGTCTCATTCATTTAAAGTATTCTAAAGGTCTATTGTGAAAAACCTTTACAGGCTTAAAAGTGCCAAATGACGCAAATAACGTGTTTTAAAACTTGAAAAGCAGTGTTTTATTGGTTGTTTTGTTTTTCTATAAATCCAGAAACTGTTAAAAAGATAAAGACTTGCATTTTGTTTTTGTGTTTTTACATGTAACAACCTACAGTGGTGGAAGAAGTACTCAGATCTTAAATAAAATGCCACATAAATACTATGTTAAAAGTCCTTCATTCATTTATTTTTACTTAAGTAAAAGTACAATAAGGGGATAGGATAATAAGTATTAGCATCGAAATGTACTTAAAGTACCAAAAGTACTCATCATGCAGTATGCAGATTAATGTATATGTATAACCTAAGTATTAAATATTCATTGATGCATTAATGTTTTCACCACTTCAATGGAGCTGGCAAATGGTACCTCTGGGATCAATAAAGTTTTATTTCAACCTATAATACTAGGCCTACAGAATAATGTATTTCTTGATTATATTTTGCATTAATAAATTGAATCTGCAAAGTAACTAGAAAATAAATGTATCAAATAAATGTAGTGGAAAAGAAAGTGCAATATTTACCTCTGAAATGTAGAATTAGCAGAAGTAGCAGAAAATGAACAAAGTCAAATAAAGTACAAATACCTTAAGCACTTATAAATATAAATATAAATATATATAAATATAAATAAATATAAATATATATATTTATATTTATTTATATAAATATATATATAAATGTAAATAAATATATATAAATATATATAAATGTAAATATATATAAATATATATAAATATAAATATAAATATATATAAATATAAATATATATATAAATATAAATATAAATAAATATAAATATAAATAAATATAAATATAAATATATATAAATATACTTACTGATACTCATATTGATCACACACTGGTGACTGTATTTCTGTGAACTTAACAATATCTACTTTTGTTTACTGTGATACATAAAGGTTGTACTTGTTCTTTTATTTTAATAAATAAAAATGTATTTTAACCTCATTTAAACTACAAAACTACTTTTTGTCTTGCTGCTGCTTCCGTCGGTTGCGTAAAACGTCATCAACGTCTCACCACGTGACCTGTGGGGGTTTGTTCGTTGTATGTTTGTTTCTCCTCCGGACATAACACGACCACACCTCTCCACCTGCACCCACAGACATTAAAACCAACTGATCAAACTCAACCGACAGTATTTTTAAAAAGACAGTTTAGTTACTTGTCGCCACCAGTCTCCTACGCGACGATTCCTGATCATAACTCTTTTGAGGAGCCACTTAAAAAAACTGTGAAACACCACCCGGCTACAACAGTCGGCGCGTAGTGAACACAAAAACGAACGCTCCCGGGGCTAACGCGGGAAAGCGCCGCTGTGTTGGTTCAGACGAGAGCCCGCCACGCTAATCCTAATATCAGCGGATATTAACATTATCAGGGGCAACAAATGATCCGACCCCGCAGTCTGTAGCTGTTCGGCTCCGACCCGAGACAGTCCACCGTCGACCGGACCCCTGTGCTCAGGCTGCGGTGAACCCGGACCGCCTGAACGAGCCCCGAGGAGCCGTTAATTATTATATGTCGGTCCTCGCGCTGCTCGTTTACGTTGGTGTCTGTAGCCGCCGAGCAGTTGTTAGCTCACACACAAAGAGCTAAACACACAACATACTCCTCTCCTCTTCCTCTTAAAACAAATACCAATGGATTCGTTTCAGAAGGTGGAAAAGATAGGAGAAGGGACGTATGGAGTGGTGTACAAAGCCAAGAACAAAGCCACCGGAGAGACGGTTGCTCTCAAGAAGATCAGGCTGGAGACGTAAGTTAAGATTGTTGTTATCATCTGGGTACAACGGGAGGCCGAGCTAACGTGGCTGCAGCTAAATGCTGCTTTTCACTTCATATTTGATCAGTGTTTCCCTCCTCATGGCTCCATCAGGGTGTGACAGATAAACGGAAGATGTGCAGAGCTTCCTCCAGTCACTCCTGCAGGGTTTGACTTAGGAAAGTAAAAATATTACAGTGAGAGTGGTTCTTAACCATCAGTCTTTAAACTGCAGCTACTTTTACACACACCTCTTATAATCCAGTGCACACAACAGATTTTATAGTTGCAGTTTTTACTGCAGCCATTTAACTTCCTATAACCCCCCAAATTTACATACAATTTTAAAAAAAGAGCCTACAATCTATGGTAACACCTCCTGCAATGGGTCCCAGTATAAATCAGAGGGGTCACTGGGTGATTGAGGAGATATTTTCTGATTTAAATTATTTTTCTCTCCTCTAAAAAATCTGTCCAGTTAAACAGTTTGAAAAGATAAATTTACTTTTTGTTTCAGCTGCTCAGAACTTATATCAGCACTAAGGCATTAATTTGTATTAAAGGCTCACAGGTAGACATTGCTTCATTATAAGGGGTCCATAGCCAAAAAGGTTGTAACGTTACTTATATTATGCATATTTAAACTTAGGTTGTTACGTGCATTATGCAAAAAAAAAACATACGTTACATACTTTGCATAGGGCTACATTCAGAATTGTTAGTTTTTAAAATGTTAATTTGCTGCCATGCTGTGCCAAGGGATATCAGTACCAGGGCTTCAGCAGGTGGCACCAGTGACTCACTCTGTCCAGTGTTTTCTGACCTTTGTGTCAGACCGCAGGAAGCCAAGGCATTTCTGTGCTTATCTTTTGTTGGCTGATATGTTAGCAGGCAGTGATACATGTATAGGACTGTGCAGTGCCACTATAAGAGAAGTTATGTCTAATTGTACGGATCTGTTCATTGTGAACACAGTTATTTTGTTGTGAATGCTTTGTCCTGTGGAGATAAACATAGTGAAATCAGTAAATGTTATGAAATTATTAACCAAGCTGAAGTAAATAAAAAGGTAAAATGACATCTTTATTATAACCTGTGATTCAGTAACATAACCAGTTAATGTACCATGTGTTTCATACAGGGAAACAGAGGGTGTACCAAGCACGGCCATCCGAGAGATTTCACTTCTCAAAGAACTAAGTCATCCAAATATTGTCAAGTAAGTTCCTAATGTTACGACTTTCAGCTAAATCCTGCTTACAACATACTTGTGTTACTTTCTGTCTGTTTTCAAGCCAACCTGCCTGTTATTGTTTTACAGATTGCGGGATGTCATCCACACCGAGAACAAGCTCTACCTTGTTTTTGAGTTCCTTCATCAGGATCTTAAAAAGTTCATGGACTCGTCTTCAGTCGCTGGTATCCCACTGCCTCTGGTTAAGGTAAACATAAACTACATTTTGCCAAACAAGATGTGTCTTGATCTTTTCAAGAAATCACTTGACTTACCTTTGTATACATGTATTTCCCCTGTTTTTAGAGCTATCTTTTCCAACTGCTGCAAGGCCTGGCCTTCTGCCACTCTCACAGGGTTCTTCATCGAGACCTGAAGCCCCAGAACCTCCTCATCAACGCCCAGGGGGAGATCAAGCTCGCTGACTTCGGCCTGGCGAGAGCTTTTGGGGTGCCTGTCCGCACATATACGCATGAGGTAACATGTACAGCCACCTTGTTGATCTATGTCAACAGGTTTCTTTAGAAAATACTTTAAAGTGCATATTTATAACCATGCCCAGCAGTCGAGTACACTCCTTCATGATTCCTCTGCCTAACCTGAATTATCTGGTAAAGTCAACATCGGCTAATGGCAGAAATATCTCCCTCTACTCAAGCTTATCATTTTTATTTCTTGGGTTGCATGTCGCTAAACTAAAGTTGTTTCAGGAGGTTTTTGTTGATCATTTTCTGTTTTCTTTTTCTGAAGAAATTGTGCTAATTACAAACTTTCGTCTGTGATATATTTCAGGTGGTAACACTTTGGTACAGAGCACCAGAAATTCTCCTGGGCTGTAAATACTACTCCACAGCTGTCGACATCTGGAGTTTGGGGTGCATCTTTGCTGAAATGGTAATGCACCCAGTTTCATCTCTTACAAAAAGCTCCTCTGTGAATATATGAAGCCTGATGCACACTGGATCCAACATAACGTCCAACCAGCACACTTAACTCACTGTCTCACTGGTTGCACAGATCACCAGGAGGGCCTTATTCCCCGGCGACTCAGAGATCGATCAGTTATTCCGAATCTTCCGCACCTTGGGCACCCCCGATGAGACCGTCTGGCCTGGAGTCACGTCAATGCCGGACTACAAACCATCGTTCCCCAAGTGGGCCCGGCAGGATCTGTCCAAAGTGGTGCCTCTTCTTGATGACGATGGAAGAGAACTGCTTGGAGTGAGAATATTTATTTTATTCTTAGATTCATTTTTCATGAATTACCCCCATCTCATATGTTTGATTGTTTGTGTGTTCATCAGCAAGATCAAAAGACATTATTAAGGTCTTTGTTAAATATGTTTGTCAAGGAACAAGTGGTTAGTTAGGTGTGGATCCATTAATGTTTTGAACATTTTTGTTTACACTTTTGAACTTAACAGTAGCTCATTAGTTCTGTTCAGTTCTTACTGTAACAGTGAATGTACTGAAATACTGACACAATGTCAATAAGGAAAATTTATAATTACACAGTAAAGCTCCATTGTAAGACTCTGACAGCTCAAAGGGGGTTTACCAGATGTGAAGCGGAACGGAAAAACTTCTTAAAAGCTCCCTTTTCCTTTTGTCAGTCAATCTAGCTGATGCTGAGTGGAACAGACTTGCACCGATCTTTATGGCGTTGTAATGAACCTGAGTCACTTCATCATAGAAAAAACTGGAGTTAAAGTCAATGCTAGGTCTATACCGATATATTATAGACAAAAACTCCCGGGAAGGTCCTGGAAAATGATTTCTGAGAGAGTTGGAAACCTGCGTTGTAAATGACACGCTTAAAGTGTTTCCACAGACATACCCGACGTCAGTTGAACAATGTTTGCATACAGTTTGAAACAAATCGCTGCCGTCTAACCCGGCAAAGCTAACTGGCTTGCTACAGCTGATAGACAACAACTGGTGTGCTGCCAACACTTTCCGGGTAAAACTCAAGCCCTATAATTTATGTTCCACGATGAGTGCTCAACATAAATAGGGTGTGTTGACAGTAATTGTTTGGGTCACAGGGCATACCGAACGTCCCATATTGAATACACGTACTGTTACAGTCTGAAAAGTACATTGTTTTTACACTACAGCGTACAAGTATATGAAAGCTCTATAGCAATTAGTTGATCAACCAATAAGCCACCATAGAATTAATCTTATCGTTGATGTCATTTTTCAAGCAAAAAGGGAGATTCTTTAAATTTGAGGATTTTATCTTTTTCTTTGTCAAATCCGATAATTAACTGATTATATTTAATCTAAATTTGGGCTGTGTGGAAATTATAACAAAGATTTCCCACTATTTTGTTACGTTTTACAGACTAAATGATTAATCAAGAAAACAAACAGCACATTAATCAAAAATGGAAAGACTCATTATTAGATACACTGACTGTATTTCTCTGTTTCTGTCACTGCAGGAAATGCTGAATTACGATCCAAACAAAAGGTTATCTGCCAAAAACGCCCTTGTACATCGATTCTTCCGTGACGTCACCATGCCAATCCCTCATCTGAGACTCTGAGTCAAGCCAAAATATCTTCCGGCCATTTTAATGCCAACAATGTCTAAGCAATAAGGACCTCCTCGCCTCGCTTTCATGTCCACGACTGGAATGGACAGAAAAAGTGGACACTACAGGATACGTTGGATCCTTTAATGAATATTTGTTAATACCTAAAACCAGCTTTCTTGACGGCAGATGTCCTGAGAGTTTTTTTTTTTTTTTTCAGCCATTATGTTATAATAGTTATGGATGTTTAACTGTAATCTTCAAAATCATTATTTTGCATATTTATGTTTAAATGCCATTTTTGATGTAAATGTTATTTGTGATTAGGATGTTCCTCCGACTGAGATAGACACATTCTAGTTTTCTGCCATTAAATGTCCCAATGTAAACGGTCAGTTGGCTTTAGGAAGTCCAAATTCAAATAGTCAAGTAGTTAGAATTAAATATGATCGAATAAGTTTCTGGGATAGTGCAAATAACAAATGTGATGCTTTGTAAGCTGAATGGAAGACGTAGTGGCGGCTCTCGCTACGCGTCACACAGCAGACATCGTCAGCTGATGTAAAACAGTTGGTTGAGGCTGATTTTCTTGCAGTTAAATTCATAAATTGGATCTAAAGTATCTTGAAGTGATTTTAAAACGGCACCTTTTGGTTGTTTAACACAGAAATTGGTCATTGGGGTTTGCTGGCGGGATTGTACAGTTATACAAATGTTCCCTGTTGTAATTCAGATTTTACAGAATTGTGCTGTTGCATCTTTCTTACTCTAGATTTTATTCAAACTTAACCGTTTTTATGGATATTGTTTATTTACAGTTTGAAAAAAAATAAACTTGTTTAAATAACTGTTACTGTTTGTTCTTATGAGGATCATTTTGGTCTAAAGTTCACACTACAGCTGGTTCATGTGAAAGGTCAACATAGTTAATGATGTTTTCTTCAGTTCTGGAGCCAAGTGAAACAATTAATGCCCCAGTTAGTTTGTGAGACTCAAATACCGGAGTTAAAAGCTGTCTGGCATTGTTAAATCAAATTATTGTTACACTTCATCGATCTTTGGCTGGACGAATACACAGGCCCATTTCTACTGCTGGCACCACATCACATATAAACTAATGTTAAACTGGTTAGTTTTTCAACTAAAATGTTCTCCTCTATTAAGGCCACAAGCTGAAAGGAGCCATTTATGTTGTTAGGCTGTGATGATGAAGTAACAGTTTAATAGGGCTAATACTGAACCTGCGTGAGTGAAATAATGCAAAGAAATACATGACAACTTGACAATTAAAATGATGGGAAATATAAGCAAAGTATGCTAAAAGTGATATTTTAATTGTTTTCAAGACACAAAATGAACATGTGGTAAATTAGGGTTTAAAAGGGGAAAGTAGGCTTCATATGCATATAAACAAACATTATAATGTCTGTAATAACTGCTTCATACTCAGTGTTTTAAGTGTAATATTTGTCATTCTCTGCAAACCTTTTTTAGATATTCAACACACTGCTCCTTCACCTCTGGATGCCACGATTTATGAGTCTATTTTCACAGGTAACTGAAAGAAAGCTGCACAAAAAACTCATGAAATACAAATACATGAGTTTTTATTAGTCAGGCCATATTTAGAAGTTATGTCAGTCAATACAGTTCACCTTAAAGAAACAAGAGATGTAGAGTAACACAAAGTCTGCATAGAAAATCAGACTCACAGAGAAAAAGTAACGGCATGCAGTGCTGTTTGTCTTTTTTTATGTTAACACTGAGGCATGCCAAAGTCTGAAATGTTTAAATCTCACACATGGCTCTAATGTTTGTATCTGTGCATAGAAAAAGACTCCTTGTGTTAACAGATGTTTATTTTCAAAAGGAACAATAATTAGAGGCAAACATAAGAATAAATGATTGTGGGAAAACGAAGAAGCAAACAGTAAGAAATAGATATGTTATATTCAGATATAAATTAATGAACAATTGCATTATATGAGAGGCGTAATTCCAATAGTGGTGCTCTTTGTTACATTTGGTGATTTCATTTAGTAAAAACACATGTGCTCAACTTGTGGGAAAAAGTACCCATAATGCATAGAAAGAGAAATATAACAGTACTAGCCAGCTAGCTTTTTCCACTCACGTATCCCTAATATCCGTGTTATATTTATTGAGGCTCTGAGGTTGCCATAGTGACAACATTGTTGTGGTTGCACTATAAGTGACAACACCATAGATATATTGATTATGGCCGTTTCTTTCATCAGTCTGCACCATAGATAGACTGATTAATTAACAAAGCTGCAAAATGAAACTTTTAATTCTATCTTCTGAACATAATAAATGTTAAATACCGACTAGTTCAGCAACACTAAAGCCTGTAATTAGATTTAATTATTATAGATGCAACACATACGCTTACCTTTGTCTTTGATTCCCTATAAAAACAATGCTTCTCAAACTCAAGGGCTTTTCCTGGCAGTGTGCACAATTAAACAACAAATAATGAGTGCTTTCAATGGATGCTACCAAGATTTATGTATTCAGACAACTAAATGACATGTAAAGTATGAAAAGTGATGATATGTCCTCTATTTGTAATAAACAAGTGCTTGGCTGATTCACCACCATGACCCTAAATTACAAGGTACATCTTTAGAAACTTAAACAAACAGCACAAGAGATCACAGGTCAGTACAGTAAATCGACGTCTGATTAGAAAAAAGAGTTTGGCAGCAACAAGAAACTGTGCTTCAGATAAAGAAATCACGTAACACAATTTGGAAATACGTCACATCTGAGAGTGAGAGAGACATAGAGAGTATACAGATACAGTTCTACAGTCCAGCACTTTTGCACCTTTTTAAGCGTTTGGATATTCAGACTTAAAGCCTGTACCAGTGATACTGCATTTTACAAATGATCAATACTTGACTGATCACTATTTTACATGCCATGTTGTGTGTTTGCAATGTTTAGTGTATTTTTCCTAGTCTAGACTTAAACTGTTATAAGTCACAATAATGAAACAGGGAAAAATGCTTGAAACTTTGACTTTAAAATATTTAATACCTTCCCCAAAGCCCAATGATTAAAAAGTGTGCCACAAATCAATTCATGTCCTGAATCAGCTAACGGTAACACAATTCATTTCCAGCAAGTCGACACTAAATTTCCCGGATCCACTTAGTTTGAACTAAACGGACAGCATCCAATCAAGCTGTAGGAAAGAACCATGAAGAACTAATGTTGCCTTGTTTGTACGTTTGGCGAAGAGCGCATTATGACCTGTTTAGGACTTGGAACTTGACTGGCTGTCTTGACTTGAGACTTTCACATGATTTGTAAAACAATAACTCGGTCCAACCTCTGCAGCATGCATTAAAAATGATCAGCAATAATATAACTAAAAACACTGTGATTGTACTTTAAGGGGGTTTGGGTGTGTTTGTGGAAGTATTGGGAGGATGGTGAGGTGCATTAATTAACTCAAATTTCTAGTTTCTTTTTCATGACAAGCTTGTACAGGATCTGGTAGCCATCATCCCAGGCGTACAGCAGCTGCTCCTGAGGGTTGTACTTCAGACTGGAGTGGGCTCCGTAACGCTTTGGAAAGTAAATCAGTGGTGCTTCTTCGTTGGTCACCATACCGTTGACATCGTACACACACTGGACACGAGATCGACCGGGCTGCTTGGTGTTGTACACCACATACAGAGTCCCGCAGATGACGAAAGCCGCCTCTGCGTTCTCTCTCGGACAGTTTGTGTCCCACATTTGCTCGATGTCCAGCGAGTTGGCGTCCATTTTAGCCAGAGAGATGTGCCTCTCATTCTGCCGTGTGGCATAAATGGCCCACAGGCCTTCCTCGTCCACAGCCAGGTCCATCAGCGTCTCAGGGGTCAGGCCGTACACTGGAACGTGGTCCTGCACTGGGAACACTGCGCTGTCTGTCACAGAGCTGTTCTTCATGTCATATTTAACAACCATTATGTCGTCAGCCTGATTTATGTAATACGCGTGATTGTTGTAGACCACATGGCCTGTTCCCCTCCAGGAAGACGGCAGCCTCAGGGTCTTGGACAAAGACATACCCAGAGAGCGGGTGAAGTCTTGCACAGTCGCAAACTCGTGGATAGTGTCTTCATCTGTACCGTTAAATATGTAGACCTTCGCAGAGACCCTGCTGGTGTCTTTGGTCCACATGCCCTTTGGCCCTCCAACTCGCTTCAAGATCTTCATGGCTTTTACGCTGGAGATCATGTCGCTGCAGTCTGAAAATGAGAGAGTGACAGACTTTACATGATGGGCGACACTCTCTTCAAAGGTCATTTCATCATTTAAAGGTCCAGTGTGTAACATTTCGGAGGATCTATTGGCAGAAATAATGTTCAAAGGTTTTAGTGTGTAATCACTGGAAATTAAGAATTGATTTTTTTTTGTTACCTTAGAATGATGCCACCATGTTGAACCGCCATGTTTCTACAGTAACCCAGAACGGACAAACCAAACACTGACTCTAAATTGGACCTTTTGTGGCCACTGTAGTTTCTCTTACACACTTGGAAGGCTAAGCTGCAACTTCACCACTATATGCCACTAAATCCTACACACTGGTCCTTGCTAGATTTGCTTTTAGGAAAAATGCTTGTTTGGTTTCTCGCCAACAGTTTGACAAGAGGATCAGTACCAGTATTATATCGGTCTGTGCATTGTCAGACAGGAGACAGTTAGTTTACTGTCGTAGCTGCGAATATTGTCAACAACCAGCCGAGCCAAGAGGACAAAGAGTCCAAAACCTAAAACCACAACCTGTTGTTTTTATATTTTGGGTTTTTGTAAAGATTAAACAAAAGAATTGTTGATCCAGTTTAGCTGTTTCCTGTTTCCAGTTGTATGCTAAGTTAAGAAAACCAGCTCCAGCTTCATATTTAACAGATGGATGTGAGAGTAGTATCAATCTTATCATCTAACTCTTAAACAAATAAGCATATTTCCCAAGATTTATTAAACTAGTCATTCAAGTAGTTTGGGGTTCAAAGGTCAAGTCAAGGTTAGGTAGAGTTTACTGACAGACCCAGGATCTACAAAAAAGCTTGTCTTATTTGTTCCTGTTATATAAAGACGAGTGGCAAATTAAAGCCTGACTGTGAAGACCATTCACATTATTTAGACACATTGAACTATATTTACCTCTTGTGTCTCCCATAAAGAAACATCTGTGTTCATGTTTCTCCACTCATTTATTTAGGTTTTTCTTACTAATTTCATTTTCTTATTATCAACAAATTCCAAGAAAATAGCCAAACCGAGAGGATAAGAGAGGGTGTATGAAGCACACAAATAAAGTCTGATTGATTGATTAATTGATATATATATATATATATATATATATATATATATATATATATATATAATTTGACTGAAAATACAGTGATGTATAAACCGGTCTTCTTACTGTCTCAGTGCAGTTTAAGCACATTATACCTCACCTGATAGTTTTGAATATTTGGCCTTCTGTTTCTCCTGCACCAACGTCACCTGCTGCTCTATCAGCTTGTCGTCCACGTCCACACACGGCTGAGCTCCGTTCTGAGTCTCCAAGTAGTCCAGCTCACGCTCAACCCGGTCCACTCGGGTCCCCACACCGTCCAGATTCGTTCTCAGTATCTCTTTCTCTTTATCCAGGTTCTCCAGCTGGGAAACCATCTGTTGCTTCAGCTCCCGCAGCTCTGAGGCATAGCGGGTGGTCTGTTCGTGCCACAGAGAGATCCGGTCCTGTTTTAAAAAGAAGGTGACACAGATTAGCTACGTCAGATTTTTCACACAATCGGAAATGATTGCATCTTACCTGTTTGTATTTCAGTAATGTGAGCAATACACGGGTATTTGTTTTACAGGAACAGTAAATATAGCTCTAGAAGACCTCTGAATAGGCCATAATTTAATGTTCTTTGCAGGCTTAGGAAATAGTCTGGGACATAAGGGCATAATAAGAAGGAAAATCATCCTTCAAACAACCAGGTTCAGCCCACACGTGGCAAGTATCCACCCTGCTCAAATGTCCCTTAGCAAAACACTAAACCCCATGAGCTCACTCTGGCAGACCCTGACCTCTGACCCCGCTGTGGAGGTGAAGTCTGACTAGGAGATGTGGATGAATAATATTTTGAGAGAGTTTTTGCTGTCTCTGCTAGAAAATGACTATGGACCTAAATTGAAAAAGTAGAACATGTTTAATATTGAATCTTTTCATACAAAACAAAACCACAATATTGAAATAGAATAACTGAATGACAAGATCCCCATGGTGAACAATTACTGGTCATTTAACAGCAGTCTGTTTCCTAAATGTATTATATATTTTATATATATTTATAAAATTTAGTTTCCACACAGGCAATACAGTGCTCTGAAACATGTTTAATATGGCATATGTTTGAATAATTAATCATAATTATAATTTACCTTATCATCATGATAACTGTCATTCATTAATTTCTCTTTTAATGCAACAACTCTTTTAAAACAAACCTACTTTTATATAATTTTAGTTTTTTTCATAATGTAACTACATTACAAACTGCAGTTTTTGTACACACTGTGTCATTCTGACATCATACATACATATCTGGACCAATCAAACGTTTAAACTACCTTTTTTACCTCAGTCTCTTTACCCAGACAAGAAGCCCATAATCCCTATACATTTCAGAGAGCTGTATTTTCCAGCATTTTCCTCAGGATTTGCCCACATCTGCATTCCATTGCCTTTGCCCTGTCCCTGGAAGTTTCCTTTCAGAGGGACTCTGGAGCGCAGGGCTCGACAGGGAGGTAAAGTGTCTCTTACCTCAATAGCAAGCAGCCTCCGCTCCAAGTAGTCAATCAGTGCTTGGTGCTGAGCGGTGGCAAAGCAGGCCAAAGTAACCAATACAACAAGTCCTCTCATTTTGTGTCAGCTTGGTCTTTTCAGCTCCTGTAAAATTTGGACTGGAGCTCAGTGAGAGAGTGTGGAGGAGCCAGCAGATTCCCAGAGGTGGGCTGGAATGTTTTACTAAGCTGTCTGGGAGGAGCCAAAAACATCTGGTAGATGGAAGCGTGCAGTCTCTAAGAGAGACAGTGGTTTTTATTTCTACTTCACCTGATTGACAAACTGAAAAATTGTAGTCTGATGTTTGAGTTCACATATGGCTTTGAGGGAGTCGGACGTTTTTAATTCAAAACACAGGACGTTAATGTGGCGCACGAGTTACGTAGGAGGAAGTGTAATATAAGTGGGAGTCTGTGAGGCACTGTGCTCCTGTGTTAAGGAGAAGACCATGTGAACTGTGGATTTTTAACCAACTTCAAACCCATGTTTTAAACTCTACAAAAGAGTAATAATGAAAAGTTCTGCGGAACACAAAATGAGCTCTACAGACTGATTTATTTCTCTTTCTGAGCTCGAATCCAAACAGGTATCTTTATTTTAATCTAATGTGCATCATCTGACAGGACACGTGGTGGCTGTGGCTCAGGTGGTAGAGTGGGTTGTCTAGTAGTTCCTGGTTTGATTCCCAGCTCCCTGTGTTGAAGTGTCCCTGGGTATTTTGATGACAGAAGTTTATTGGTATTATTAGATCTGATAACTTTATCAATCCCCGGAAGGGAAACTAGTTTGGTTGCCATGAGTCAGACACAAGTCACAAGAGGTCACATCTGACGACACACATCACACAGCAACAGTTGTAATGCTCACACACAAGCTGACACATATTAGACGAGGATATTAGTGTTGCTCATGAGACCATTAAATGAAAAAACAATGTATTTGATACATTTAATCATTTAAGAGCAAAACGTGCCATCATAAGTCAGACATCTAAAAACGGGCCCAATACAACAGGCAATAAATGTAATGAAACCTTATAAATTATGTCCAAAAACACATCTTCAGAAACAGGCAAGTTTCACGTGTCGTTCAAAGGTTTTACAGCTGTGGGCACAAAAGACCTTCAGAATCTGTTCTGTGAAGCATCTTAATATCTTCAACTAGCCACTCAATACACTTTTTATAATAAACACTACACAGCCTCTAAACCGATTATTGAACCAGTCTTTTTGATGAATTAGTTCATTCTTCTCCTATAATTGATAATAATAATAATAATCAATAATGCTGTTACACAAACATACATGGCGTAAAATAACCTTAATGATCCATCTGATGTAGCAAGCAGTGACCATTCATGTCGAAATGTAATGAGTGTTGGAATACTCATAGTGCTGGAAAGAATCTATTAATAATCAAAAATAATATGTGAAACTTGTGTAAGTTTATTTTAGATATTCATCATTCATTCAGTATTTGGTCATGTTACAGCATGTCTCCAGCTGTCCCTGTGCACAGGAATAGTTGTAATAGTGGGTTTATGTCTACAGCACAGCAAAAACAGTAGTTAGTCTGGCTACTGGTGAATTACTAGGGCAATGGGAAATAGGGATAATGCTGTCTGTGGTCTCACTTGTAATTATAAAAGCACCTTGTGTTACAAAAGTCAGAAATTATATCACTGCACACCTCTGTTTCAACAGGTTTTACTGTGTTTTTCTAGTTAGCTTTAATACAGGCTGCAGTTAATCCCAGCATACTCTTGCTCTCCCTTTGAGTTCTACAGGGTTTTGAGTCAGTTACTTTTGGCTGTTTTCAACTATATGACATAATTTCCGGCAGAGACACATTTGTGCAGACACATAAAGTGTTTATATAAGTTTGCTGGAAGTGCAGTCTGACTTTCATTCATGCTCTCGCTTGTATGATTATATGTAAATTCCCCCTGAGCATTATGGGTCATCAATTTTGCAAATCAAAACAGCATTATTTTCAGTATAAACACTGAACTAGATGAACTAATACTATAAAATTGTATTGAATGTCTACATACACACAGTTTAATAACTGATGCAATCAAACTAGGACCTCTTCCTCTAGATAAAGGAATATAAAAGTCCGCTTTAAAGATAGTTATTTACAGTGGGGGAATCAGGCTGTCTGAGGGGCAGGAGCAAAATAATAATAATAATAATAATAATAATAATAATAAATAAAAAGGTTGGGGCACCAGCACAAAGAAAGTCACAATGCATTCATGGTGAAACAGTTCCAAACCTTTTTCATCACAGTTTCTCCACTAGAAATGCACATTTGTCCGCCAGAGATGAAACTTGTCGCCATTTTTTTTTTTTTCAAATGTGGCATCTTGACATCATCAGGGTTATTTTCTCAGACTTACGAAGAGCTTCTTCCAGAGCCACGGATATAGATGGGTGACAATTTAAAGGAAAAACCAACACAAACCTCCTAGTCTCCATTCTCTCATTAAGTTGATTCACATCATTTCCTTTCTCATCGAACCATTCAGTGACTCCTCGTATGAAATCCTCTGCATTTGTCATGTTTCTCAACTGATTAATTCAGGTTTTTCCTTTAATTTGTCATCCGTCTGTATGTAGAGCCGGTTCATGTTTAAAACACCAAAGCCCTGCTGTGATGGGCAGAAGAATAAAGGATCGAACTAAAAACCACAGAGAATTTAAGGTTTTAACCATGTACATGTACATTTTTATCTAATTTTAGAGAACTATGTGTACATCAAAAGTTAAATTTCCATGAGATCATACTAAGCCCAGGGAGGTGTGTGTGTGTATGGAGCAACTTAGAATAGTGTAGCCCTGACTACCAGTGAGCTCTAGTGACAACTTTTTAATATCCGAGGATCTTTTTCTGGCCCAAGTCATTTCCTTCTACCAACAGTAGTCTATTGTACAGCGTTATGACTCATTTGTAAATCTCATCTTCATACATATGAATTACACCAGTAATGCTGTTGCTGTTTAATCCTGCTACGACTAAAGCTCCAGTATATTAGTCATCGTTTACAATATGGTCATTGTAATTCATGGTAGTGTGAGGTGAGTTTATGACTTCTCTTCGTCTGAATTACGCCATCATTGGTTGAGGTTTGTTTGTATAAGGACGTGTTTATTTGAATATTCATCTTTTTTTTTTTATTATTCATTTGGTTTTCATTTTATTTTTTAAAAAATGAGTAGGCCTATACAGACAAAAAGACAAAACACTAAATTAGACTGTTCTTTTGCTTTACTTTTGTAAAAACAGTATAAGATGACTATTAAATGACATGATTGAAAGGTTATATTATGTTAGTTTCTAACAAACCAGTATGTGCGAGTGTGTGAGTTCATGTGGTGTGTATGAAAATAACTTCTGTGAAGTCGGGGAGGGCGGGTCAACTAACAAAGCTCCTCTTGTTAGTTCAGAGATTTCACACAACAAACATTTGTTACTTACTATTAAACATTGTCTTTTGTTCTTACATACATGTGATTATATGTAAGTATTATGTAATTTACAGAGAATAGTAAAATAAATTCCTAAAGTTTGTTTAATAACTAATAAAGATGTGAAGACGTATTCAGTCTGTGCATTCACGTCATCAATCATAGCACATGGTTCTCCCTATATTGTGGTACATGGCTGTTCTGTTCCTGTTTACTTGGTATCAGATCGGAACCAAATTTTGTGGTATTGTCCACACCCAGTAACAGCAGATTGTCTTTGATGTGACTGTGTTTTTCCGCCAATTTAGTCTTGGACTTCTATAAAGTTGTCCGACTCACGATGAATAGTTTAAAGAATAGATCAAAATCGTGCAGCAGAGTCAGAGATATTGTTTTCTTAGTTCTTTATTTAAAGGCACCAAAGCTTCAAGTAGAGATGGGGAGCGGGCTACAGAGGTTTGGTAATCTCACTTCTTTCTATCTTCACACCCTCAGATTTCTTTTATTTTCAAACTTGTCTTCAAAAGTCTTCTGCCCCAAATGAACCTGACTCGAGTGACCAATCCAATTTAATAGACTTCACACAGCTCCCTCTGGATCCATTAAAAGCTTTACAGAACTCCAACAACAGTTTCACTTCAAACAAATGCATGCAAGTTTGTATTTAGTTGATAAAAACTTCTTAAAGTGACCTCTCTGCAGACATTAGGGAGCAGACGGGTCCATACCTTTGTTCTTACCATTGTTTTCTGTCCTACATGTCTGTGTGCCGGCAGTGCCACCGTCACGCACAACTAGGCCTGACCTCATAGTGTAATGTGTATGTGTGTATGTGTGTGTAAAAGTTTACGTCATCATTATCATATTTGTAACATGCACGGTGGATAATAAGCTATATTATAATACTGAAAATAAAGCTTGGTTACTTTTGCTACTATAGCTAATACTAATACTACTACTAATAATATTTTATTATTAATAAGACAAGTAATTATCTTCATGACCAACAATTATATTAATGTGTTATAATATATCATTCTTCTGAAAGCTAATTAACACTTTATAGAGCTATCTATCTATCTATCCATCTACCCATAGCTGTACATATATCCTTATATGGTGCGAATCGGTACAGGGCCGAGTGGGCTGGAAGATGTATACGATGGTGCTGTGTGTGTCTGTGTGCATTTGAATATGAGTCAATCCTTTTTTTCCAGCACATTTGCCTACAGGATTTTGTGTCTTCCTCAGTGATTGGGCAGAACTCAGTGAAAGTTCTGAAACATGCAAACACAGGCAAATGTTCTAGGGGCACAAAGGGGAAGAGGTATGAGGGCCTCGTCTTATCAAATAAAAAAATCAGCTGTTGGACGATCATAGGCACACAGGAAAGTCTTTAATCAAGAACAACAGGTATGTTTTGTTTGATAAAAAATACCTTTTGAGATTTGATCATGTTGGCTGTTTCTTGGCGGTTTCTATTTCAGTCGGCTAAATCTTATTTTGTGCAGTTTATCGATAGAAAAAAAGACTAAAGATGAAAACTTTTTGAAGCAATGTCAACAATGTGTGTGTGTGTGTGTGTGTGTGTGTGTGTATGTGTGTGTGTCTGTGTGTGTGTATAGAAGGAAATTGTATTTAATGCTCCAAAAAATGTATGACGTTGGTGTTTTGCATTAGTGATTTGATAATAATTTTCTGTTCCAGAAAACGAAAAAACAAGCAACAAAAGTGTCATTTTTGCATCCGAGCAACATGGAGTACACATTCAGAGCAGTAACTCACACCCCCGGGATTATA